CCAATCCAGCGCTCTATCATTAATAGCACGAATGCGTCAAAAGCAGAAGAGCCTTATTATATTGCGAATAATCCATAGATGGGGTAAACGTAATTGTGTAGCTATCTAGGATAGATATGCCTAATCAAATGCATTACGTGTTGCTATGGGACAACGTAGTGAGAGACTTCGTAAGCTTCAGATTTATGTACTGATAGTGGGTTAAATCTTCAGGTTCTTTGTGTGTCCCCCACGTTTTAACCTGTTATCGCTGTGAGGATCTGAACGAAATTCTGAATGTGAGCTTGATTCGGCTAAGCCTTTCTTAGCTTCCTGCTTACCCACCTCCTACATGCAATACACCTACTAACGCTCCTGTATAGTAGATCATTTCTACAATCATGCAAGCCCAGTCATTGTTTCTGAAAACTTGATCGCCACACCAGGGAATAATGCTATACGGTCCTTCGAGCGGTTTTTCGCAATAGTATCGCCATGCCACGTAAGCATCACTGCGCATACTTCCCTGATGTGGCGATCAAGGTTTTAGAAAACGGTCGCACCTGAGCTCGACTGTGGTTTAGTACGTTCCGCGCATAGGCTGCATTAACGGTGGTCTAGCTGCGACACCTGCTCAAATTTGAATTGGAGGAAGAAGGTGGAAGCGTTTATTTTAATGGTGTCGACGCCGCTCACGGAGCGTCTGTTGTCACGGTTGCCGGTCCATCCTGCATTCGATTAAACGAAACGTTTTGCTCCTTGGATTCCTTTGTATGTAATACCAGCATCCTTAGTTTTAAACGGGATCTATGATATCACGTCGATGACAAGCTTTGCCGGCGGTCGTGTTAGGTGCCAGTACCAACGGCGGATACCTGGGCTGCACGCAGATGGTCAATGTACCACCAGCCCTTTCACTGCGCGGCAGTAGCTTAAGGGCATGTTTTGGATGAAACACAACAAAATTTGGAGAAAAATCGGGATCCTGGTCAAATTCATTCTATCGTTTTGTGTGTGCACGCTTCTAGTAATGCGCTTCATCAACTATCAAAAGGGGTGAGAATCAGCTGACAATTGAAATTCTGAAAACTTTGAGGTATTTGTTTGATAGAGATATGTGCTCCTTTTAATTATCTCCTTCACTATGATTAGTACTGACGTTTTTGAAAAAATGTGCTGTCATTTATTAACCCTTCTAATTATTTGTTTTAGTTAATTTGAGCTAGTTCATTAGCTTAATAAACAATTAATAAAATGTTATATTTTATATTCTTTTTAAAACTTAAAAAAAAAACAATTATTTTAAACTTTTCGAAATACTTTTACAAAAAGTAATTGGCAAACGGACCATCCGGCAGTGTTGCAGATCTTTAGATCGAGTCATCATGATTTAGTCCAATAAATACCTACTATCGAAACACAAGCAGGAAATGTTTCTGCAAATATCCCAACTAATGCTATTTCAATTACTGATGGACAAAAAAAATAGAAGCTGACTTATTTAATTAGGGTAAGAAAAACGATTGTAACGGATTTTCCGGAACTTAATTATACGATAAATAATATTCAGCGTTTTCCGCAACAAATTTTGGACGGCCTCAAATCCGCATATGGAAATTTGTTAGATATAAAATTTTACTAAGTCAATTGTAGCAGCTGTGGGAGTTGAGACATGCTATTTTTAAAAAAGTGGTTAGGGTTGCTAATATAAGAATCTTGGGGGGAAGGCCAGCCTCTCTTTCCGAGACCATCAGTCCAGCTTGATAAGAGGCTACACCTTCGCCACCAAGAAATCTTCCGAAAAGTCGTCCGAATCGAATGTATTAAGCAGCGATCGCCCAGCAGTCGCACCGGCTCCGGCACCAAATTCAGCTACAGTAGTCGTCACCGCGGGAACAGGTTCCTCAGTAGTATCCTGAAAATTATCATCCACATCCGGAATAGCAATGTCGGTACGATACATCGGGCGGTTGATTGCAAGATCATTGGAGCCGCGCCGTGGAGATCTAACCCGCCATTGGATAACAAGGACAGAGGGTGCACTGTCGCGAGGAACTTTTGGTCAGTTTCTAAGCCGGGATCGTTTTTAAGACATTGCACGGTATCTGTACGTCAACGACAATAATCTTCAAAGCTCCTGTGGTGATAGATCCTTTAAGATCCCAATTTTATCCAAGCGCTCCAGAAGACCTTTTTCGCACCTATCGGCTCGGTGTCCGTGTCACTTTCAACGAAGGCATGGTGTCCATGCGTCACATACGAAATTCTATGCGACAGTGATTAGCTAATAAGCCCAACAAGTGGGCACCAAGTTCTACACCTTTGCCAGGCCAAGATGGTGCTACTCCACTTCAAACCGGATTTTTTAAAAAAATGAAAACAAAAATTTGATTACGAAAAAGTAGCACTAAAAAGGAAATTCAAAGTGGCGAAAACGCAGAGCAAAGTGGTCCCCTCAGGCTGAGCTGCAGCTAGGTGCCGTACTGCATGTCTTCCATGCGCTCCGCGGCAGCAACGGAATGCTGGCAATGCAGTGTCAACCTGTTAGCAAGGTGCGTGTCGATACATCCGATGCGGCGTCTCGCCGCGCGTTCCAGTTTCTCCATCCGAGCAGCCGCAACCGTCCCGCGAGGATGCTCCACAACCAGCCCTTTACAGGGAAAGGCAAGGTCGGCCTTGATCTTGGCCTTAAAAGCACTAAAACACCCTGTAGCACCAGTTCAAAAGTCGGTTAGTATGCCATTTAAAAAAATATTGTAATACAGTATACTGCGTACCTTGAATGGGGTTACATATTGAAGAGTACGGAGCCAGCCGTACAAGTACCAAGTCGGCTCGTTCAGCGACGTGTGCTTCCGTTTGCTTCCACAAATCGACGTGATGTGGTGGCGGGGATTCCGTTGTGGGCGGCCACAAGCGTCCAGTCACCGCCGACACGGAGGCAGTCGAGGACACGAGCTCTGGCAAATGCGAGGTGCGGGGCTCTGGGCGTCTTGGGGTAGGTACAGTGTAGAGGCTTGGCTTGGTTGAGGGCTTGGAAAAAGATTGATAAGAGAGAGCGAGGAATGGCAATGAAGTGCTCGCGCACACGCTCAGGAGGGTTGATCCGCTTTGAACTGCGAATAAACCACTTTGAAGTACGGAGTGCGTTTACTCGACATATTTGTGAAGTGACATAAACTCGAATCTAAAAATTGAGAATAATTTTTAAAAAGGTTTAGTTACTTCACCACTTTGAAGTGGAGTAGCACCATCTTGACCTGGCAAAGGTGTATATGACCTGTCGTACTAAGACAGCGTACCGCTCCAGGTGAGGAAAAGGTTTGTTCCGGATGATCCGAAATGTGTCTCTAGACATACTTTTAGGACGTTACTTTTGTTTGAATCCCAGTTCTTTGCACCACCCTTGCAATCACTCCAAATCGTTCCCACATGTATGTGCCCCATTGCTAAGAGCTTGTGTGACAACGGGATAGTATAGTTGCTGTAGGTGCGTACCAGTCGCTGCGCAGGATTACCTCGAAGAACATAGCGAAGGTTAGCAACTGCTGTTTCTTCCATGTCAGTCTTGCCACAGTAAATATTGATTCCACCCAAAACAATACAACACAGTAAGTACAATTCCGATCACAACACGGAACATCCCAAGCAAATCCCGCGTTGCTCAGTAGCGCAGCCATCCAGAGTCCATTGCATTGAACTGGATGGACAATAAGCCGGTCACGTTTTCTCGCAACGGGGTTCTCCACGCGGCTTACACTCGTGGGCCGACGTGAACCAGGCGGGGCAGTGTCTAGGATGCCGTGCCCACAACTGGAGAAATGCTATCATGAGGCCATGGGCGGAGATAATGTCCACGACGAACTCCACCTACAGTGCTACTCAATTTAGCGCTCGATCCGGGTGATCAATACGCTGTGTATTGGTCTCGTCGACATTGCCATGGCAAACGCATTCATTATTTAAAGCTAGCAATGCGAAAGCCCTAGAAACCAGTATCGATGCACGCAGTCTTCATGCGTCGCATACACGCTGAATTTATCGGGCAGACCAGTGAAGATTTCGCAAGCGGCAACGACATGGAAGTACTTGTCACTCGCCCGCTTCCTCGCCAGCCCCACACCCTCGAGAAGCTCGAGAAAAAAAAAACAAGACAAAGACAAAGAACTGACAATGGCTCTACAAGGTGTGTTCGGCGTTTGTGGGTCGTCGAGTACGCAGCTTCGAGACTAGTTACTTCTGTGCAGCCTGCCCAAGCTCAAGAAGGCAGAGTGTCGATGTACAGCAAGGCACGACGTCTTAACCATGGCAGCAGCCTCACCTGCGTCCAGATATGGCATCAAACGTGACCAAATGGGGCTGCTATTCCGCCGGAGTACCAGGTCAAGATCCGATTTGTCGGTAAGTGTAGACCAGAAGTGTGTGAGAGTGGTAGTGAGTCGTAAGAGCAAAAAAGAAGAATGGTCGCTTGACAGCACCATGCACAAGTCCGAAAATTGCACATCGTAACGGCTTTTCAAAAATTACGGATTTTCCGGAACAGTCGTTACAAAACTCCAAATTACTATACCGGTATACGTGCGTACCACAATTGTTTGTATACCGGTAATTAAGGGGGCGCTTTGACGAAAATATTTTTAAAAGTTGAAGTTCTACTAACTTTACTATACGTGGCAAAACAAACGCAAAATAAAACTAGATTCCACATATTAGGCTGACCCGCAACTTTATAAGATAGAAATCGGGGTGTCGTTTGCACGTTTGACTTCGCTTGGTGTCATCATCTTACCACTTCTCCCACTTTAACTAAGTACGATTGTCGGCATTTCACAACTTTATCCAATACGTTTATTGACCCATTACTACAGTAATTCGAAAAATAAACCTTGAAAAGCTGAGCCTGGACATGCAGTTCATCAGTCCACTCCGGGTGTGTTCTGGAATTCTTGTATTCTCTTGTGTTATTCTCAACAAAATGATAAGCGTGTAGAACCTATCACTAATCTCCAAGCGCGAGATTTTTAGTCGCGGCGAAGACGCTGCTGCTGGTTCGGGTTGGGACACTGCGGGATGTTGAATTTTGGTTTCATGTCCGTACCAAAGAGACCGAAGTGTTTCTCGCACTCAGCTCCAGTGTAGCTCACCACGGTGTCGTACATCATGAAAAAGTACGATTGACCCTTTCCAACAGACCATCCGTAAACGTAGTCGTAGAAGTACTGCATGAGAGCACCGACCGAGGGGACATTTCCAGCGTAGCTATCACCCGCAGTCGGCCAGCCAGTCTCCGTGAGGTGAAGCTTGTTGGGGCCGAACTTGGACACCATTTGCTGCCACTGCGCTTGCAGCTTCTCCACCGAAGGCTGCGAACCTTGCGTGAAGAACGGGTAGATGCTGACGCCGATGTTGTCACAGGCGTTTGCAAGCTTCCACGCGTCATTGGAGCTCAGCCACTCGTTGATGCGCTGCACCGATCCCACCGGCGTGTTGCCCACACAGGCACGCACACGGTTGATGTAGCCAACAAGCTGGTCGGCTGAGAACTTGCCGAAACCACCGTTCTGCAGATCCTCGTTGCCGACGTAGACCGCTTCGACGGCCCACGGGTTACGAGCGTAGCCGTCACAGACGGCTTTAATCTCGGCGTCGATGCGGCTGGGGTTTTGCAGCTGCACGCCCACAGCGACACGAATGCCGGCGGCAGCAGCCATGTCGACTGCGTTCACGCCAGCTAGCGAAGCCTCGTACGTGCGGATGGTCGAGAAGTACTGAGCCACCTGCCTCATGTCGTTCTGCAACACGTCCCAGTTGACGGTGGGGTGGTGCCACGGAGAGTAACAAATACCAGTTTTTAGTCTTTCGGCATCGGTGGAACTGAAAGCCACAGCGGTGGCAACAGTAAAGGCGGTCGCGAACTTCATCAATGCTTTAGTAGCTGCAGAAAAAGCTTTAAGGTTTGTTGATCCTTGTGTTCGACAAGGAAGATTGGAGAATGAAACGTTGACAAGAACCACAACCGTTGGGTCACGGGCAATTCGATGGTGCTGATAGTCGACGCTTAATGGCATGTGCTACGTTGACAACGCAGTGTTACACACCGTGATTTCACTTAATCTTCGGATCCGTTCTAGCGTACAAGTGACTAGTCGTTGCATCTTACCTCCATTTTTCAGAACCAATCGCCAAAAAATGACGAAAGAATCCACCGGCGCGCAGTGTGATTCGCGTGCCTTACAGTATAGTGTACGCCCAATGCGCTTTTTTCGATAATTTAGTGGAAAACCGCTTTCGATCACTAAGTACATGTATAATACATGATTGCAGGGTCGTCATTTCGTACACAACGACAGCAAATCCTTTTTGGCTAGTGTCACTGGCAGTAATACTGCCGCCGACTTTTAAAGTGTACTGTATAGACGGCAGATGCCGGTTAATTGATTGTAGTCAGTCCGACTGACTGTCAGGGGGCTTGACGCCTCCAGGAATCGGCCTGCCACCTCTGTCTATAAGTCCTCGACTGGCATTGTCCCGAGATAAGACTTTTAGCTCTCAAAACTTAAATAACCATGCAATTTCAGTATGCATGTTTTTATGCCTTAATACAGTACTCGGATTGCCGCCATATCTACTCTTTTTTCAATGTGGGCTCGTCTGCCTCCTTTTTTAGAGAAGGCTGGCGCTCTATCATAGCATATTAATAGAGTCTATGCTCTGCAGTGCATGTAGAATTGTAGACGCCGCTTCTTTATCATGATACTGAACGTAATTATGGTGGATTTTCGCCGCGTTGCAGGATTTAGAATTGCCATTGGGGCCGAGTCCTTCGCTACATGTATTACTGTACATGTAGCTCAGAACGTCACTGTAAAGGGGTACCTGAAGATAAATTTCTTGACATTTTTTTTTAATAAATAAAAGCAGCTTCTTGCTTCTCACTCTTCGGCGTCGTCACATTGCTTCTTGAATTTCGAGAAAAAAAAACACGGTCATATCAAAAGCCTTTTTTAAATCTGCTGAGCATGGTATAATAGCATTCGGCACTAGTGGGCGGACGAGATGGAAGTATGGTATAGTCGTATACAGATTTGATTAGCGGTATATGATCATGAATATGCACGCAACGCTAAGGTAACGCATCGATTATGAGCAGCTCGGAGATTAGTCGTCATATCCCCTGGTACTTCGACGAATTTATCTGTGCAGTACGAAGCCGTTAACTACTTACTTTCTCAAATGATGAGAGAACGCCGATAAAAAGAGCCCAGAATCTTATCCCCTTTCTAAGCTGACTAAATCCTGGTTAAATTTAACCCGCAGCTATAAAATTAAAGCATAATTATTTTTTTTACTCTTCAAATTTGAGATCGACCGATTGTGTCACCAAACCGACTTAAATTCGATTGCGATTCGATTAGGTAGCCGTTAATCGAAAGACAGTACTGTCTAAAACCGTGTCCGAAAATATTAGCGGCTCCTGTAGTTCGGCTAAGTACGCTCAAACTATTGGTGTTGTTGTTGGCAACCACTGCTAAAAGTCACAGTTGAGTTACGCGCTATCAATAGCACCATTCGATAGGCGATGGCAAGTTTTACGACTCAACAAGTTTTCATGCCACTTAATGCAAAACTGACGGCCTAGCGAAGACTTTCCAATTTCGAATTTGGCACTACAAACTTTGCGTCACCATATCTTTGCGACGAATTGACCGATTTGATCGACCAGAAATTCACTGTAATCCGCGTAATTTAGGCCAATCAGCTGTCCGTTTAGCGCATTCCGATTGTTAAAATTAATTATGACCGCTCTTATTATCCCGTTTTTATTTTCAGTAGGTAATTTACTCGTTGTTCGTGCTGTTCCAACACAAAGTTTTCAAAAACTGCTATACCGGTATCGAATTAAAAAAAAAGTGTTTATTATCGACACGAGCTAAAGTTGTACTCTCTATCTTTTCTGGAAATTCAAGAAGCGCATCGCTAGCAATGTGAAGACGCCGAAGAGATCCACGAAGAGGAGCAAGAAGCCGCAGTTCTTCCAGATCTCGCTGTGTTTCATCAAGAAGTTTGTCTCCAGATACTCCTTCACAGTGATGTTCTGAGGTAGAGATGGCGGCACGTTGGTCATCCGCGTACATCCCAGATCTCCGTCGCTGCTGCAGGCTCCAAACACCACAGCAGAGAACGCCGCAGTGCTGTATTTCATCGGAGTGATGTCATACAGCCACACGGTCGCCGATGGCAGTGTAGAAGCTGGAGGACTGAAGCCCGAGAACAAGTAGCCAAGAAGATTCAGCAGCACACCGACGATCTCCGCCACCTCTAAATTCGGTAAGAGGAAGACGAGGAGGTCCGCCATGAACGCTTGATGCAGCACTTGAAGCACCAAGACCAGCCACGAAGTGAGGAAGACTCCGACACCCGAGAACCCCACCATTGGGAAGAACGGGATGAGGAACAACAGCACTGCGAAGGCAGCGTACGGGATTTCCATGACTCCCAGTCCGAAGAAATACCAGAAGGCGTTATAAGTTTGAGATGCTCGTTCACGGTAGAATACAGCACGCTCTTCGTACGCTACGGGGATCAATCCGTTGAACGCGATGAGGCCGATGAAACTCGTGATCATGTAGAGCATGCCCAAGCCGGAATTGACACCTGAGTACGACGTGTACTCTGCACCCGCGTACGAAATACCAAAGAGCGCACCCAAGCCTAAGGATATAACGAACCGCGTCAAGTTGACAGAAGATGTACGCCAATAGAGATCGCAGAAGCGTTTCAACAGGAATTTTGCTTGAGTGAGCTCGGAAGCTGCGCGTTTGTCGCTGAATTCGAGTGCTGGTAATGACGGTGACGGTCGAGTCACACCTTCCTGGTCTAGACTCGACCGAAGACGCTGAGCGTGAGTGCTCGCTTTGAAGATCTCCACGAAATTCGTCTTGTCTCCGTTGCTGTTACCGACACCAGCACCGATCACTTCCAACATCCACGTAGCCGGGTTGTAGTCGGCTTCAAGCATTGCTACACCCTCAATCGACTCGAAGTACTCGATCATTTCACGTGCGTTGTCACCTAACTCGCCAACAAAGACTGTCTCACCTCCACGTTTCAACAGTAACAGACTGTCGAACACACTGAAAACCTCGGAAGATGGCTGGTGGATGGTACACACGATGGTACGCCCCGTATCCGCTACTTTTCGAACTCCATCCATGATCAACTTGGCCGATCGAGCGTCTAACCCACTCGTCGGTTCGTCCAGGAACAAGACACTCGGCTGTGCAGCGAGTTCCACTCCGATCGTCAGTCTCTTCATCTGCTCCACGGAGCTGCCACGGATGATCTGGTCAGCGATCAGATTTAGATCTAGAAGATCTAAACACTCGTTTACAGAATCATATTTGTGACTGTCTGGAATATCGGCGCCTTGACGTAGGAACGCACTGAATGTCAACGCCTCACGAATGGTAGACGACTCGGAGTGAATGTCCATCTGCTCACAGTACCCCGTCGAACGTCGAATAGCCAGATCTGTGGCAGGATGACCATTGAGCAGAATCTGACCGCGGATCTGACAGCCAGTCTTCCGTCCAGCAATCACGTCCATCAGCGTCGTCTTGCCAGCTCCAGACGAGCCCATAAGCGCAGTGATAGTGCCTGGTAGTGCATACCCAGAGATGCCTTTCAGCAAGTCGATTGTTCTCTTCGGGTTGGTCGGGTCTGGTACAGTGTACCACAAATCCTGGAACCTGGTACAAAATACTTTTGTCTTGCGTGGTCGACCGAGATCACTGACTCGCTGTGTTTCTTTGATCCTCGCGGCGTTCGAGTGAGCGTGTAGCTGTCTTTTGCGTCAACTTTGCTCTCATCTGTAAGTACAACATTTTCTGGACGCTCGAAGCGATGGTACTCTAGTGCGATGCAAGACAGGAACAGGAAGAGCACGTACGTGGCTGCCATGTAGACCATCCCGTACCACAGCCAGTACTTCTCGGACGGTACCTCGTATGTACTGAGGGTGTATTCCCCCATCGTCATCCCATACTGAACACAGTAGTCCAGTCCATCGAACACACAAGTATCGAATTGTGCGTGACTGTACTGACTCACTGCCAATGCCCGAATACCCCACGCGATAGGGTTCCCCCAGTACTGTACAACCAGATGAGGTAGTTTGGAATTTGGTCTTTTGTGATGGTGTAGCCGGCAAAAACACAAACGTACAGCACCGCGACGCTTGAGATCGGATTGGCTACATTCAAATTTGGCGAAGCAGATGCCAAAAAGAAGAAAAATGAAGCCAGTGCGAGGTTCGTGAGACTCAAAATCACTAGAAAAATCAGGAACCCCCAGAAACTGCACACATCCAGTACACAATTGTGCAAAAAATCACAGATTCCAGAAGGATTGGTGGGATTTGGTTGACGAAATTAGACAAAACATACGACGCCGTGCGGAGACTGCACGCCTTATGGTGTCTTCAACGTTACGTGTTATCGCTGTACTTAACGTTAGAATTTTACCGGTACCGCTAAAAAAACTGCGCAAAGATACCGTTATCCGCGCCCCTTCGATACCGCCGATCAGATTTGTCGAGTCAACACTTCCGACCGCTCAAAACTTCGCCATTCGAGTACTAGAGTAGCCATGGATCCATTGCTGCCGCCGATATCAACGGTGTGGTCTCAGGGCATGTCTTCCGGAGCCAGTGACCATCACGAAGAAGTACTACGACATCAGGATGACCGTAGTGGTCTGGGATCAGTTGCGAACACGTTTGCGTTGCGCGGTCAACCGCTCAGCCGAACATTTAACGAGTTACATTCGACTAGTCCGCCAATACGTACCCGTCTTACCTTTGATGACGCCGACAATACGGACGCTAGGCCGGCTGGGCCTTGTTACGGGGCCCTAACAGGACACGATCACGACGTTGCTGCTGAAGTAACCTCCGCGAATATAACTTCTCATCATGATGGTGTAGCTACGAGATGTCCGACACGCAAGCGTCCCGATTCTCACGGTCTTGTAGGACCTTATAAACGTCTTTTCGTGGGTCCTAGTGGTCACGAAGTATGTGAAGCTACTACACCAGCAAATACTCCAGCAAAACGAACAAGTACACCGCAGCGCGGATCAATTTTGCGCAATCGTAATGCTACGACTAGTGCTCGCCGCAAGCGTGTTGGTAAGTCTCCCGCCAGTGCGACGCGTCAAAGTGGTATGGACAGCGTTCAGCGTTCACACTCAAATCAAACACCAAGTAATTCCTACCGTGACCACAGTAGCAAGACTCCCGGCAGTTCTCAGCGTGGGCGTAAGCCACAAAACGCCAAACAGCTCTCAATCAACACGCCGTAGCAGGACACCGAGTAGCGCGCAACGTGGTGGCAGAAATGGGTCCTCTGGTTCAGCGTTGGCGCTTTCCAGACCACGGCGGATCTTGTTCAACATGCACAAGATGCGAAAGCCTCAACACTGGCGTTTCATCCAGCTTGTTTACAAGGACGACTATAGCCACATACATATGGACGACTTGCGCTCTGAACACGCCAGGTGCGCCTTTTGCAATAAATGTGGTGTTGAGATAGCGTTTGAAAAGTCCAATACCGCCCATGTAACCAAACACATGAAGACACGCCATCCTAAGGAGCTAAAACAAGCAACAGAAGAAGAAGAATCTCGTCGGAGGAACAAAACGCAGATTTTGGTGCACACAAAGCCGAACAATTTGCCTACAGCATCAGACTATCAAGAAGCTGCAACAGCAGAGGAGCAATTAAGGGCTGATGATTTAGCTTCGATCTGGGTTGCTAAGTCAATGCGTCCGTTTTCGATCACTAGCGACAAATACTTTCGCAAGTACTCACGATACATCAACTCAGTGTGCGGCCGAGTTAATATCATTAAGCCATGGAAGACCCGAGAGCGTGTTGAAGTAATTGCCGCTGAACTTCGAGAAACATTAAAGGAGAAAGTCTCTGCTGAGTGCGATTATTACTCCGCGTCAAGTGATATTTGGACATCCAGAAGCAAGCTCGCATTTATATGCCTTACGCTACACTATCTGGATACTTTGTTCAAAATGCACAGTTGGGTACTCGAAGTGAAGCTCCTACCGGGAAAGCACGATGCTTACCACATTGCAGACTCATTGGAGAAAAGCATGCTGGAGTGGGGTCTACAGACTAATAAGTGCGTCAAATTTTTGCGTGACGGTGCATCAAACGGAGTTAAAGCCTGTGCCTTGCTCCATCTCGACTCGATGTCATACTTAGCGCATTGTTTGCACCTAATTGTTGGCTCTGGAATTGTCAAGAAAAAAGCTGACAAAACATCTAAAGAAATGCTAGCGGCAGCAAAGACGGATGGTGAATTCGATGATGCACTCGAACAGGAGGCCTGCGAAGAAGTTGACAGGTATATCGCAGAGTCTTGTGAATCTTCTCGTTCAGATTTGGAGAAATTACGTGGAGTTGTTGAAAAGTTTCGCAAGCTTGCAGTGTTCTTCAGTCGTTCAGTAAAAGGATCCGATTGCCTGAAAAGCCTTCAAAGTAAAGAACTTCTTCCTAAGACCGACTGTGCTACTCGTTGGAATAGCACATACGCCATGCTCTTACGTATGTTAGAGTTACGCAGTGCACTAGCTGCCTTTTTTGATCTGGCGGCTAGGACTGGTGAATTTTCTTACCCCACTTCCGCACACCCTACGGTCGAGGACTGGCTTACGATTCGGTGCTTAGTCACATTACTTGAGCCTTTCGCCAAAGCTACCGATGGTTTGGGAGGACAGAAGTACCCTACATTGGTAATTGCCGTTCCAGTACTTCGGTCAATCGAGAGGAAGCTAAACAACGCCAATATTTTTGATCCGATCATTCGATCTGTTGCTAACGAAGAATTTGGTCCTCGAGTGGAGACATTAATGCATTCTGTCAGAGAAACGTACATAGAGCTCTTTTCCAAGCGGTTTAAGGACAGCTTACCGCCGGATTTGCTGTGGATTTCAGTGCTGGACCCACGGTCAGCCGAGCTGAAGCACTTGAGTCATGGTGAATCTACACTTGCTGTATCTCGACTCAAAGTTGCAGCTTTTGAGATGGCAAAAGAGATAAATACAAACAAATCCAGTTACAACGAGGCTGCGCAGGTAGCCAGCGATTCAGTACCCCAGTCCGGCTTAACGAGGCAAAATGTAGCTTGGCTGACAGACGTATTTAGCGGTGGGATGGACGAGTATGTGGAAGAACCGCTCAGTGTTGCCGACGATATGCTGAAAGACGAGTGCGAGTCTCAAGTCCGGCAATATTTAAGAGATGCACATGGAACTCCTGTTACTACTGACGTATTGGACTGGTGGGCGAAACGACGAACTAAATACCCGATCGTATCGGCTTTGGCTAGAAAGTGGCTCGGGTGTATAGCAACTTCTGTGCCGTCCGAACGTGCATTTTCAAAAAGCGGAAATGTAGTCACCACGAGGCGCTGCTCGTTAGCCCCCGATATTATTCGCGATACTTTGTTTGTCAGCGAAAATTACGAAGAGAATGATGACAATGTTTCCAGTGAGCAAAGTGATAACAGTGACGAAGATGGCGGGTAACATTCCGGTATTGTTGTATGACCGAATGATGAAGTGAAATTTACGTCAGTCCCATCCGAACGAGCATTTTAAACTGCCAGCAACACAGTCACAGCAAAGCGATGTCAGGTTGATAGTAAATTAGTACGGTAACTTGATTTTTTATTTCAGAAACTATGTACAATCTTGTAGTACTGGTTTATTGGACTTGTTCACGTAGTCGCGAGACTGAGGAGCGTTAAAATATGCGCGTAGTACAAACAGTATTTGTGCCTGCGCCTCGTCTTGAGTCACAGTGTAATCAACAAGAACGCGGAGCTTTGCACGTCCTCAAGGTTTGTTTCAGCTTCTTTATGTCGTAACACGTCATACCAATTAGCGCGTAAGGATTGGCGTCTCGAGAGGGTCGGTTGTCCAGATTGTGAGTCTATTTAGGGATTGATGATCCATAAATTTAACCGCGTAAAGCACTTCACCTAAGTTCTCTTTGCTTCCACAAATATCTTTCGGCCAGCTTCGATGCCGTCACACACCAACAGAGCGACGTAAAATCAGGATCGACACCTATGTAACCACAGGGAGCATATCATCCAATCCATAAGTACCTGCTTCATATCGTAACCAGTATTGTCCTTGCGCATCGTGCTCAAGCTGTCAATTACCATACCATTAGCCAGAACGTCTCCGGTACCCAGCACCGTGCCGCGACGTGTTCCATATTCAAGGGGCGCCAACGTTTGTAGCCACAGCACACCAGCATTGCAAGTACCCTTTGCTCAAAGATTTAAAGGCCCTGCCTGGCAACTTAATTGTCAAGATTCTCCAAAATGCATCCACTAGCGCACACCAAAACACCAGACTCCTCGCCGAAAGACACCACGTTGTTCATCGCCGTCACTGACAGCACAATTTCGTCGTGCACTGGAACGCTGCCACGCACCAGGCCCATGTTGCCCCCCAGCGTCACCACCGGCATGTTGGGCTCGCTACATTATTTGAGGATGGCGGATACCTGCTCTGTGGTGTTGGGCTTGGTTACTGGCTGCCTTGTAGTCATTAAAAAAAAAAACCGTGTAACAGTTAGGTCTTAGTGCCGTCGGCAGCAGTGAGCAAATGCAGGTCGACAATAGTACGTTAGCCAATCCGAATAAAGAATTCATTTTAGCCAATTAAAATACGTATCGTTATTCCATCGCTATCGCTTCGGGAAACCCCAGATAACGTTACGCAATTGTCGCGAAGATAACGGTGAACGTTAAAAGCGAACCTCTTCCGCACTGCGGAAGAGGTTCGCTCCTCGCTGCTTGTAGAAGACCTCGCGTGCGGCCATCACCGTCGGGATCTGAGCCGCCTGGCCGATGGACAAGTTGAGTGCGGACTCGAAGAGGATCCCCATCGCCACTTGGAAGTCCGTCAAGTCGAACTGGTAGTAGGCACTTGAGCATAGTAACGCAATAGTTGTGTTCATCAGCAAGCGTCCAATAAGAGCGGTAGTTTCTCGCTTCGTGATGGTCAGTTGACGCTTCATAAGTAGCGACGTACTAGCCCAGAAACTCTGAGAGAATTCTGGTTGAACATCCATATGTGTCTTCATATCTTCGACGAAACGGGAGGCTACTGGAGCTTGTAGGTCGCTCAGAGTTTGACTGTAGATAGTCGAGTGTTTAAACGCATTGGAGAACTCACTGGGAGAACGAGGGATGACTCCATTGTCGAGTTTCACTTCGTATTGGTTTTGTTTGTTGGTACCGAGATCTAGTAGGAAATCCGCCACGTCGCGAGACGGAGGACACTTGAAGCCAAGGTTCTCGAAGTATCTTAAGGCTTCTGTGCATGGTCCGTGGTACATAAGGTGACCGGCGTTTAGAATCATCACATCGTCGAACAGAGCGAACACCTCGGGTGACGGTTGCAGTAGTGAGATGACCACTGTCTTACGGAACTTCTTGGCCAGACTACGTTGCGTCGTGATGATATCGAACGTCGCGGCGCTGTCCAGCCCCGTACTGATCTCGTCCATCATCATCACGTACTTGTTACCAAACGACATCTCGCCTGTGGTCACGCGCTTACGCTCTCCACCAGACACACCACGTAGCATAGCGTCGCCCACAATTGTGTGCTGACAGTTCTCCAGTCCCAGTTGCTGGATCACAACGTCTGGGTAATGTTTGACAAGTGCTTGAGCGGCTTTCAGCGCCTCCGCATTCTCGTCCGGAGTTCCGTTCACCAAGTGACTCGCGTCATGTTCAGACAACACCTCACCACACGCAGCATGGGCGAACTCCAGTGTCTCCTTCACTGTCAATTCGGGGTAATGTTTGTCACGCTGTGGCACATACGACACCAACTGCGGTAGTCGTCTGTGCAACTCTTCAGCCGACGTGCCATTGTACGTCACCTCACCCTCGATCGAGACGTTCTTGTCCTTCGGGAAGCGTCCACTTAGTAGCTTCATCAATGACGACTTGCCTGACCCAAGCTGCCCCAGTACAAGTGTGATGGTTCCTGGCTTTAGGACGCCACTCACGCTTCTCAGAATACGCTTGGTCACTGTATGCTTCTTAGCGACCAGGCCACGAAGCGTCTTCATCATCTCGTTCGGAAGTGTAGGTAGCTGCACCTCCAGGTCACTCGCGTCCTTGACCACGATGTCCGCAGAGATGGACACGTCCTTGAAACGCACTTCCATCTGAGGAAGCCGTTTGCCCAGCGATGTCTCTAAGCGCGAAGCCACGTGTTCGTGAAGTGCCAATGGCCCTCTAGCCATCAGCATTTTACCGTCGTCGTATCCGATCGCTGGAGTGGGTGGGTTTACAGCCTCTAGATCGCTCATCGTCTTCAAGGTTGTCAGGAGAACACTTAATGGAAAATGATCATGCCGACAATGGTCAATTAATAATGATTGCTGGACGCTCAAATCCGCCTGATAATCATGTTCGTTACGCGATGGGACAATTGTTTTTGGCCTGGTAAACATGCTCAGGCATAAAATTCTTGTAGTCGAACGTAACATTTATTACGTCATTTACTGAAAAATACTTATATTTTACGGAAATATCATATGCGCTACTTACATGTGCCAGCTACTGCGTCGATAAAATAGACAGCACCAACCTGATCGACAGCTCGATTTTTTTCTTGTAGCTCTTATACTCTGTTGTGCTCTTAAGGTTGCAATCTTCCGCAGCTCGACTTCTTCTGGTTTTTTGCTGATGCTTCTATTTAATAGTAAAGGCGGCATAAAAAACGACACCGTTATTCAACTGTAGCCAACGCATTTCTGCCTAACAGGAGTCAAGGGGAAAAAGTCGGTGCAATTTCATTAAATCGACAGCTGAAACGTTGGCGCGGTTGCTAAGCTTTACTTGCTCTTGGGACTGTTTCATAGTTGTAGAGAGCATACAAATGCAAAATCTTCTTCGTTGCCACAGCCACATTCCCCGTTTTTGGCGGCAAATTCCAGCTTCGCACAACTCTACCCGAAGCGCAGCTGTGTCACAAGACTACGTTCTCCAAGTTCTGTACGAGTTGATAGCTTTCCCCGGCTCCCCAGCTGATGTAACACAGTTCTTGGCCAGTGTCTAGTGAGTGTCGCGACCACACCCAATGATACGGAGTACGTCCTGACTAGCGATCGGAGTGCCCAGCAGGATAATCGACTGCTGCGTTAAATGGTAAAACATTATACGTGGGACAACGAATACGAGCGCCACTTGATCCATTTTGTCGAGATATTGAAGTTTGATGAGGATATCTTTGACACATCTCATCCCACGTGCTCACCTCGTGTGTCTCCGACATTGCGCTGTTGTGTTTTTTAGACGTTCGATAATAAAGTCTTTGGTGTGTTCAGTACCGCATTCACTTTCCGTAAATTTTAAATCGACTGACTGCATGTGATATGGTCCGTCATTAGTCACGGACGAAGACGGCGTCCTGATGTCGAACTCATGGATAGTTTTCCTTATATGCAAACGAATAGATACCTTCATTAAAGTCGACTCAAAAAGAAAACGGAAGCCAGACAATTGGTCTTCTTTAACCCTTTATTGCGTGAAAGTGAGTGAGACGAACATCGCTGGCTTCTGTTTCCACTAAAAATATTTGAACGTCCTCCAGACTGGGTAAGCTGCTAATAATGTCCAAAATACTCTTCTCCACATGGGCCAGTGTCACAATTCAGACACTCTCGTGCCACACCACCAAACATGTTGCAGCACTCAGTAATTAACCGTCTTGGTAATAGATAGCTTGAGAGCAGTAGAAACCGCCGTAAGCTTCTTGCGTGTCCATAGTGGCATTTAGTAGTCGCATCTAAACTTTCTCGAGATCTCCTTCCATCGGTCATTAGGGCTCATGAACATCATCATTTGGCCCGGGTAACTTCCAGTGGTCCGTCACACAGACACAGAAAAACTATTGCCCTGTTTCACCGGCCTCTGGTACCGATGCTTCATATTGCGCACTGGGATACCGAGTAGTTTCCATGTCGGTTTTGAAAAGAGTAACTTTGCACATTTTCTGGTCGTCTAACAGGGCTGCTAACGTCCATGCTTGCGGGTAATCCTTGATTAGACGACCATATCAGTATGCGTAGATAATATCTTTTCGGGGATCCTCCTCATTGTTATGGATATCTCGTTCTTTCTTGTAAAGTGCACTTGCTGCCAAGCTCATAACGACTGAAATGTAATAATGGATAGATTTCCCTTAAGCGGCTTGAGCGAGAGCTTCTACCAGTTCCATATTCCTGTTAGCGTATTTAGCAAAGTCTCCTTGCCCCGCGCCGCCTCATATACTTTAATCTGTGTCGATCGCCGGCGTCGCTTCACCTGCCATGACGCAGACCTGCTCTTCATAACACCCCCTTCAAAGCAAAGCTTCGAACCCTAAGGCGCCGATGCCCACCGCTTTCAGCAAGCAGCTCAGGCGAGTCTTGTTCAGGAATTCCGTGAATGTGTCAGCTGGGTTTTCCGTGCTCTTCACCTTGTATAGCTCGATCACGCCCTTCTCCACTTGTGCACGCATTAAGTTACATCGCAATTCAATAGAGAACTGTATTTTTTGGAGCTATCCGAGGTTATGGAGCTAATCCAGGGTTACAAAGCGTCGCTCCAAAATAGACTCCTTCGAGCTAGAGCGATTTCTTATAACTCCACCGAAGTTAAGTATTGGAACATCTCAAAATATCGACACGGAAATATATTCGGCGTTGTGCTTAGATATTCCTAGCTCCAACTACAGAAACTACAGTTCTATAAAGTGACGTGTGCGCCGGTTGTAGCTCGGGTTTGTCGTCATTACCAGCGCAGCTTGGTTGTCGATCCCGAGCTGGAGATCCACGTCCTTTATCATCACAATATCCTGTAAGATGATGCTTTCAGCCACAGCCTCCCTTGCAGCCTCACACGCAGCCACGTATTTAGCCTCAGCCGTGGAAAGCGCCACAATCGTTTCCCGTCGCGACATCCAGGAGATTGCATCTCCTGCTAGTGTGAACATAAAACGTGTAGTGCTCTTGCGAGTCTCGGGATCGATTGCCCAGTCACTGTCACAGTATCCTTCCAATTCCACACACATAGCCTCTTCCGGAGAGCTAGTGTAGATAATCCCATAGTCGGTCGTCCCCGCTAGATAGCGAACCACATGTATGAGTGCCCCAACGTGCTTACTTGATAGTTTCTCTACGAATCAGCTCAACTGGTCCACCGCGAATGCCAAATCCGGGCTTGTTCCGGTGACCAGGTACATTAGCATGCCAACAGCCTTGCGACATGGAAAGCTGGCATCAGATTTTTCCTCCTCTTCCAGCGGTACCAGTCGTATGTTGGTCTCCATCGGATTCCCCACAGCATGCGCGTTCTCAAAGCCTAGAGCTTTCAATATCTCTCGCGCGTACTTGGTTTGGCTAATCTTTATGCCTATTTTTTATGCCCTCTACCAATTGCATCACCTCCAATCCTAAATGTGTCAGCCCCCCTTGATCCTAAATTCCATAGGCTTTGTCAATATCATCAAACAACTTGCACTTCGAAGATTCACAGTTTGTTGCAACCACAATGACATCCACGTATACCAGTACCAGCATGGTAACGTCACCGTCAAACCGATAATACAGACATGGTTCCGTCAGCGAGCGCAGGTATCTATGCTCCCGCATCCACTTGTTCAACGCTGTGTTCCAATCCCTTTCCGACTGTTTCAAGCCATACAGGGCTTTCACGACAACGTAGATGTGTCCAGTGATCTTGCATGGATATCCATCGATCTCCTTCCGGTACTGATGAATTCCCCACCACGCGCTTAGATACGCCATGTTCACACCCCCTCCGTAGAGTATTAGTTTCAAGATTACAGCAAGAGCTGCCAATATCATGCGCGATGACATGCGGGCCACTGGTGAGAAGATATCCACAAAGTCAATGCCTGATCGTTGGTAATTTCCAAACGCCACGGTACGCGCCTTAAATCGAATCACATAACCTTGAAATTTGATTTCAACGCATAATCCCATCCAGTTCGGATCGGTTCAGCATCTTCTGGTACCTCAGTAAACGGGACCTCCTTTAGAACACCCTTCGCCTTCAGCGATATCATAACTTCCATCTCCGCTAGGCATCCGAAATCTGCATACTTGAACCGCATTTGTTTATCGGGACTTTCACCTAGTTCGCCCTTATTGGCTCACCGTTTGCATCCAATACTCGGGCCGTATTTTGCATCGCTTTCACAATGTACGCATCCAGGTAGCACAGTCGACGACGTTCGTCCGCTTCACGCAGACCAGCACGCTTACACTTCGGCTCCATCTTATATGCGCTGCACTCTCGCTTCCTTCGATGATGTTTTATCATGATGAGTTTGTTTTCCAGTTGCCTTCGGAATAGTATAGCACAAGCATCTACCACTTCGACCTGTGGCTTTACATCTTCGGGTACTTGAAGTTTACTGTCCGCCTCGGTAGTAAATCCACTGATCACAGAAACAACATCACTCTCCCCGATACTTTCACTTTGATCGGGCTGTGATCCTGCTCAGCGGTCACCCCTCTCGGTTTCATCTACTTCCGAATCAACGCATACTGTAACCGAGCCACTTTCATCACGATCCACACTGTTGTCGTATTTGGAGTCGTCACGTAGTTCCTTCAATGCTGCTGCAACTGCGCTATCCACGGCAGCCTCAGCCTGCTCGCTAGCTCACATCTCGCTACCAACTTCACTTGCTAGAGAGTTATGCGTCAGTGAGTTAATTTCACTTACAACATAATCAAACGCTTCCACGTAGCACGTCGACTGGGTCGGCCGTCGTTTACAAACACTATAATCACGGTCATCTTCACCGCTTGAACCTTCATCCTCAACCTCCCATCTCTCTTCTGCATTCACATCATCGAGTAAGTCCACTCCCTCTTTGAGTTCCATGGACTCGCCACAAACGACTCGGTGATTGTAGTTTCGGGGTCTTGTTCAAAGTGTAACGACTCTAGTTGAGCTTCCTGCTCTGCATCTATATCATGGTAAGGTAACACCTCCGTAACACCCAGATCAGGAACAAAGTTCAGTGTTCGTCCTTCTGAAAAATACACCGTGCATCCCACCACGTCCTCCGCATACCCAAGAACAAACCCAGCTCTGAAATTGTCGTGATGCTTACGACGGTCTGGGTTTTGTGGTATGTGCACTTAAGCCAATGCTTCAACAGCCCTGATGTGATGGAGATCTGGTTTCACTCCAAACATTTGTCCGTACGGAATATCTTGTACCC